TGTGTGTCATCAACCCACACTGTAAAGAGCTGTTCCTCCCATCCTGGGCATTCCCTAAAGCAAAAATAAACTTCTATCAGAGAAAACACTAACAAGCTCTTAGGAACATTCACCCCACTCTAGAATTTGAACTGCTTCCTGACCAAAATGTTCTATGAACAGAAGTGAATTCCCTTGATCCAGTTCTGGTTTTGGACCCAGGCGGCATTCTTGTTCTAAGGCATGCCATCAAGAGTTCTGCACAAAAGTAATTGATGCTGCTGAATTATGCTAACTTCAACCCTTGTCACAGATTTTAGTGGGAAGCAGCATATCTACTCTGTTTCATTTCTAAGTGGAAAACAATTAAAATGCTGGCAAAAGGAAAAAGGAGGATGACTGAGGGTAGTTTGAGACAAAAAACGTTGGGCAAACAGTAGGTTTTAGGCTTCTGATGGTCCTAAAATAGGTTTTATTCTCTCTCTCCTGAGTGACTTCCATGTGATATTGTGACCAGCTTAGATGGATTTGTTTGATGGGAAGGATCTTGGTTGAATTCTAGAGGGCTTCAGAGAGCTTGATATAATAGTTCCGTCTGCTTAGGGGAGACTGGTTCCTCCTATGTCTTCATTCCTCCACAAAGGTCCCCGAGTTTAGTGGAGGGAGTACTCAGATGGAGCTGGGGGGCTTGACCTATCTGAGCCTCAGTTTCAACATCTGCAGAAGAACCTTATTGGAGTGGGATTGTTCCAAGGATTCAACAGGAAAAATACATTTAAAGCACTTAGCTTTGTGCCAGGCACTTAGCAAGTGTTTAAGGAATAGAAGCTGCAGCTCTTAAAGTTATTTTACACTTTTGAATTCATCTAATATAACCATCATCATATTCTGGTGAAAAAGATGAAAAACCAAGATGAAGTCCCTTGTTCCAGGTCACACTGCTTCTTGGTAAGGGCCGAGCTGGGCTCACACCCCAGGTCCTCTCCTCTGTGTGGTCTTTTTCAGGTAGGACTGCCTGTACCCTACTGACTCTCAGGACTCATTCGGCTCGGCTGAGTTCTTCAATACATCCCGGCTACTGGGCCTTTCACTCTTGCCCTCTCCAGTCTCCACCCCCAACTCCACTCAATCTCTAAACCCTGTTTGTGTTATCTCCAAAATATCCTTCAAAAAATGTCTCCTGTTTTTCTGCCTCATGGCTAATGCAGTTGCTGTTCTACCCAGAAGATTCTCCCCTCATCTTTATCCATGGCTGGCTCCTTCAAGTGGAACTCCCATATCCCCTGCAGAGAGACCTTGCCTGAACCTCCTAGCTGAAGTTACACCACCCTCCCCACTTTCTCTTGCTCTCTAGTTTGTCCTGTGAAGCGCTTCCCCCACTGGATAATTTTCTTTTCTTTTTTTACTGCTTGTCTCCTTTCCTAAATGTATGCTCCAAAAGGACAGAGAAGTCTTTCTTACTCATTGTTGTGGACCTAGCACCTAGCATAACACATGACACACAGGTGCTTGGTAAATATAAGTCCGGTGAATGAGTGAGCGAATGAAAGAATTCCAGAATCAGTAATTTTTGTTCACACCTGAGTAGGACCATGGAAAGCATTTTAGCTTTCTGGGGAAGGGACCTGGACACCTGCTCACCCCACTTCTTGGCCTCCTAAAAGAACAGCGCAAGGCTATCCACAAGACAGGTACCCTTCCAAACAGGCATCCCACACAAAAGCACATCTTGCAAGTCAAGGGAAATGGGCGGATAGTTGCTAATTGCATCTTCCAACTGGGCTGATCTTTCAAAAGTTCGAAAGGCGCCTGCCTCCCTAAATTCCAGGCTGCTACTGCTGCTGAGGCTGGTGAGGGAGGAGAGGAGGGTGCGCTTGGGCGCCTCTCGGGCTGGCACGAAGAAGCCACATCTCATCCTCCCTCCTCCCCGCCCCCCCGCTCCTCTCCAAGAGAGGAAGCAATGCAGATGGAGACGAGAAATAAATATTCCTGCCTGCTCTGTGCCACTGCAGACGTTTTCCAAAATGTCTGGCTTGGACCATGAAATCAAGCCCACCCAGGAAAGGAGGCGCTCAGCGGGAGAACGAGGGGGAAAGGGTGGCATATTTGTCGATACTCGTCAGCTTTCTGGGGGGCAGAGCACATGGCTCATACTTGGCAGCCCTGCTGAGGTGGGGACGTGGTAAGTGCACAGTAATACTTGAAGAATTGAATCAGAAATGGGAGAGGAGTTAAGGAAACTATGCCAAGGTGCCGCACTATCTCTATGACTTTCTGGGGGGGGAGTCCTAGAGTCCTAGGACTCACAGCTGGTTCTTTCCACAACACCTGCGGCCTCTGCTCCACCCTTTTACTTCCCCTCAACTCCTGAGAAATTAACACAACTGGGCTGAAGGACGCCTTCAAAGGCCATTTGGAATTTGGGCAGAAGCTCAGCATCCATGTGTGGAGATATTCCTGCCACCTCTGAGCTCAGTTCGCTTTCTCTAATACTGGAATACTGGCAGAAGATGATAACATAGGCTGCAAATGATAAGTGGGTGCTTTTGGCCTTGGGGTGGCCAAGTGTGTGGGAGAAGTGTCACTAAGAAGGGAAGTTACAGGCCCAGCAACAGGCACTGCATTACAGAGCCTTCGCTAGGCAGGCTGTGAGGCTGCAAAATGTCTCCGAAAGGGAGATGAGAGGATGGGAATTTCAGCTTGAAAACTCCAGCATAGGATGCTCTGGGGCTTGTTTTTAACCCTCCTGTGAGACTCTCTGGCACCGTGTTCTTGCTATGGCTGCCACTGGACCCTCCCCCCCCGCCACCAGTAGTCTTCTTGGGAAGACTAGGCTGGGTCCCTTGGTGAACTGGATTCTGCTCAGTAAAGAGCAGAGGCGCTTTCCTAAGTTTCACGGGTTCAAGTCCAAGGCAGTAAAAACAGTTGCTCACAATGAAGATTCAAAGACAGTGATGTCTTCTGTGGGTGTCAGGGGAACATTTTCCAGAAATGTTGCATTTAATTCTGTTTCTTTTCACCATTTCCATGACTTTACTGAGAAATGAAACGTTGTCTAATATTTCCCACTCATATGCCCTGAATCCTTCTTTATGAATCTTCCCCACTCCTTTGCCCATCTGCCTTTTAGTGCCAGGCAATTGCCAGCTGAATCCCACTCTCTCCAGGAAGTCACTCAGTGGTGGGGGAAAGCTGGCAGGAGACAGGCCCCTGTCCCCACTCTGCCCATTGCTGTGTGACCTTAGACAAACAATTCCCCCTCTCTGCACCTTGGTTTCTTTGTTTGTCAAAGGAATGGTTTGTATAGGTTTTCTTTCAGCTGTGCCACATGATGGGTGGTTCTACAGAGTGAAATGGTGTGGAATTCCTAGTATCACCATCCCCTTATTACCTCACCTTTACCAGTAAACTCCAGGGACTGGGGCCATCACACTTCTGGGACTGAGTTCAATCCTTATACCTGGGAAGGTCAGAGCTGAATATCAAAGCAGGCTGGGCACACAGCTATGTGAATCCTGTCTAGAATAGGCTTTAAATGATTTCTGTTTACATTTTCCCTAATTCCCAGGAAGATTAATGTATGGGTTAGGGAAAAATCAAAGTAGGATATATCTGGAAGGAAGTTGTGTGTGTGTATGTTTGCCTCTTTTAACAGTCCTATTAGTTACTTTTATTCATAACAGTTGCCATTTTATTGAGACCCACTATGAGCTAGGCCTGTGCTAAGCTCTTTCACATACATAATACCCTCACAGCAGCTCAATATCCACCCTCCAGTCCCTTACAGATGAGTAAACTAAGGCTCAGAGAGGATGAGTCACTTGCTCAAGATCACATGGCTGGTTAATATTGGTAATAGGATTTGAGCCCCATACTGTTGGATTCCAAAGACAATGATGTGTTATCCGCTACCCTGTGTTGGACCCTGTCTTGGCATTCAATATCCATCCAGGAGATTCTGCAGACAATGAGACTGCTTTAAAGACTCATAGGCAGTGGGTCCTAAACTGATTGCCTTTTCTATGGTGTTGTCAGAGGAAAACAGCTGGTCTCAGAGCAGGCAAGAACCTGTTGTCATAAGTGACAGGGAAGCATGCAGCTGTGGTGCCCACCCACAACAGGAAGGGTGGAAGAGTTGGGCCCCTGAAGCAGCCCATTTACAGTGACTGTCTCCACTGATCATCTACCTATAGAAAACAAGGCTAGCTTCTGCTCAGCGTTAGCTACTTTACTTCTATGTCCTCACCCAATTCTGGTACAGAATCAGAGCCTCTCAGAATGTATAAAGAACTAGAACATCTACTACAGAAGTTGTAAACTCAAATGGCTCCCAAGCCCAGGTAGGTATGTGAATGAGTGAAACGGCTGGGAGGGGGATACAGCAAACCATAAACACATGTCTAGTCTACGGAGACCGAGACTTCACTCCAACAGACTGTTGTTATGCACATAGCATGTGCACATGTTATGCAGGCCCCCCTCCCCACTGGCCTGAAATACAGACTTCTCTGTGAATTCTCCTGATTTTTAAATATGGGCAACTAATTCAGTTAAAAAGAATATACTTGACACAGTGAGAAACATATACAACATATTTGCAGCTCTATCTGATTATAGGTCTCCTTTCGCAATCTCTAAAATTAATTTTCCTCATTTACAGATGAAGAAATGGTGGCCCACATTAAGTAATTTATCTGAGACAGCTGAGGTGGGCTTAGGCCGGCAGCTCTTTGGAGGCAGACATAGAGGTGTGTGTGTGTGTGTGTGTGTGTGTGTGTGTGTGTGTATGTGTACACACACACACATATTGTACATCCACAAATGAAACAGAAATGGTGTTGGATTACTTGCTGTTACGAACTGTCCCACTTAACTGCTTAGTGTTAATATTATGCTTTAATAATTGACTGCAATGAATACACACACACCCTCAAAACAAAATGATACAACAGAACTCCTCCTTAAAACCAAAACCCAAAATTAAAACAAAAACCAGGAGAAGAAAGAAACTCTTTACTTACGGTAAATGACAGAAAAGAAGAAAACAAAGTTCCTTCATCATATCTGGATAATTTTGCCAGGACACCTTCCAAGATAGTAACGAACTAGTAAAATAGCAAAAAAGAAAAAAAAGTTATTATTTCAAACTATAATTGTTTACAGTACAGAACAACATTTCCCAACCGCGTAGCGGCCAGGATTGAGCCCTCTGTTCAGTTCTGCATTCTATTATTTGATTCCCGCCTTCGGAGAAAGGAATAAACTGCCTTTACATAAAAATATTTGACTTATCCGGCTTTCTCTTCATTATTATGTGATTGCAAATATAGAGTGTTACAGAAGTGCAAAGTGACAAAATATTATTGAGTTGCATATAGCATGCGATAATATTAAATGCACTTTTTAAAATCCAAAACTGCGCAAAGCAGTTTTTACGTTACATATTAGCACTACATTTAATCCAATCTATTTTTATTTGTATTTTATCAGTAATTTGGGGGAAACAGAAGTTTAGCACTGGCAAATATAAATGTCTTTCCATTCAGCATTACTTAGTTAAAATTCTATAATTCATGAGGGTGACTGAAATAGCTTTATCTGACTTTTATGTTTTATTATGACTCTCACTGCATGTGAAACTAGAGGAAAAGGGGTTTTCATGATGGCAGAATTCCTTATTACCGTTTAACTTTCTGTATTTAAAAATCTAACTTTGTCAGTGCTAAAAAACAAAACAAACATTTCCCGCATAACCTAGTGCAACGTTTGGGGACAAATTCTTATTAAGTTAACATATGCCACTTCATCAATTTATCTTCACACGGCTCGAGATCATCGGAAAATCATTTAGAGCTGAAGCTGTGTGATGTACAATCTTGTTTCCTGAGAGACGCAAGTATCTAGCTCAACTTTTTAACGTGTTACATTTTAATGGAAATACAGACATAACAAAGCAATGTTCACAATAAAACATGTCACCTGAAGCTGAAGGTTACCTTTGCAACCAAGAGTGTTATCATTTCTTTAACAGTTTCTTCAATTAGTTCATCTATTTTTGAATGATATTGATGCTAAAGAATACAGAAAGATAAATATTAGCATGTTTGGGAGGTGATGGCATTGCATCCGACAGTAATTTTTAGACAATGAAATTTATAAATGAAGCCTGGCCTGCAGACCCAGTTTATTTCCTTAGTCCTGGAAGTATCTGTAAGATCCTGACTCCAGGTCTTTGATGGAGAGAGATGTGAAGTTCTTTAAAAAAAAAAAATTACCAGGTTAATTGTTCCTCACCCAAGGTTTTGGATGCCTTTGATGTGTGTAGACACACATACACTTTTACAAATAGCACACATGGACGACTTAATGACCTAGCAGTGTGTTGATCTGGATCTTACAAAGCAAGATACCACAATTATTTAAGGCGGGAGATGAAAAATTATCTTTGGGAAAGTGCTGGGGATATGGCTTAGGTAGTGGAATCCTTCCAAGGGGACCAAGACACTGATTTTGCAAAAAAAAATTTCTGAAATCTTCAGGTTCTTTGGGCTAATGCCTCAGAGCGCCCCGATTTTATCTCCAGGTGTTGACTCAGTGTTGAATCAAAGTGTCTCTTTTTGAACCCACAGGGGTTCAGAAAGCAACTCATTTTCTCCACTCTTGGATAAGCAGCCCCAGGCTTAGAGCCTGTACTGAGGCTGCCGCTAAGTTTTTCAGTTTCGCTAACTGTGGCTGTCGATTAAATTTAAATAGTAATGTGAAAGCAAGCCCCCACACAAACAAAAATCTGCTGTAAATGCCAGGGAAAAAGGAAAAGTGATTGCAACACAAAATATTATATGCCAGCTCCTTGACATTTATTAGATCATCTTAGTATCCATTTGAATTTTTCCATAGTTCCTTAACAAAAAATAACAATGCAAAACATTGTTATTTGGAAAGGAAAATGCACTTACCCACTCTTTAGCAAACTTTCAGAAGGATGATTAATTAGGAACAGAAAAAAAAAGGAATAGTGCAAACAAAAATTAGGACAAAAGGACACATGAGAAAATAAAAATTAAATAAAACATCCCAAACCCTATGCAAATATATGGAAATAAGTCATAGTAATGTGGCTTAATATTCTGACAATCAGAATTATTGAGAGTGAGCAAAGGGATGTGAATTAAGTAAATTCACTTAGAGTCACGGGGAAGGTTTATTTGTCATTAGAAGACCTGGGTAATGTCCCAGTGCAAAGTTGGGAAGTTATGTTGACTATGAAAATGTAATTCAGTTTCCTTATCTGTAAAAAACAAAACAAAACAAATAATGCTATTACCCTGGACAAACAAGACAAGGGAGAAGAGGGAAGCCAGTACAAAATGCTGGTTTTGGAAAGGGAATGAGGTCAACCCTACACAAAGATTTTTAGCGAGTCAGTTCTATTATTATTATTATTTTAAAAATCAGTGACCAAGCCCTTTCCTGGCAGTCATGACCATGGATCTCTGTTTTGAAGATCGAGTGAGGGTCTAGATGTGAAAACATGTTGTCAAATGTAACTGTAATTCAAATATTATTATTTGTTCAAGTTGCTCAAGTAGAAGATAAGGGTAGGGAAAGACAAGCTTTTTACTTGGTCATCTCATCCAGTTTCATTTTAGTTGATTAGAGGAAAAACAATTAAACAAAAGGCCCATACCGTACAGTCCTAATGAATCAGAGCTCACGTTGTTAGATTTAAAAAGATTTTTACTCCTAAGTGGCATAAACCTGAAGCCAAATGCAAAAAAGTTATCTGCAGAATTATCTGCTAGAAACACAAAGAAAGATGTCAGAGCAAAATAATTCAGGAATATTGACAGGGCTCCAAATTCATTTTTAGGTCTTGAGATAAGATCCAGAATCACATGCTTACTTTCCCTCCTCATGTGACTGCCTCTCTCCACCGAGTTTTATTTGGGTTGCTATAAATGATTCACATCTATTAATTATGGGATTTAACTAGATCAGAAAAGCTAGCAGTATGCAAAATAATATGAAATATTAAATGAAGGGCTTCTAGTCAAGGAAAGTACATCCTTGAGAAGGAAACATTTCCTTGAAAAACTTGTCTGAAATGGTAAACAGAGACAAGAGTAATTGTTCTCCACACACCAAGAAAGATTTAGGGTCTTGGTCTGAGGAATTAATGGTGTCATTCTTTCTCCCAAGAGAAACAAGCCTTCTCTTTAGGAGCTGGGGAACCTCAAACCTTTCATAGGGAGACATGGCAGAGACTTCGTGGCTTATGGAGATGTGGCGATTTATGGGAGCCCTTTTCTACCTTCAATTTTTCCATGCCAAACTTGGTCCTAACTTCTTTCTAGGTAGTCCCACTTTCTCTTCCTTTCACTATGTGCAAATATTATAATCCCCACTCTTTTTCTGTATAATGAGCAATTCTTTTTTTCTGCTTATAAAACAAATGTTTTGATATAATTATTCTGTCTCTTACTTCTGGAGGGAACTTGCACATATCAAACTCCATTGGTCTACTTCCTCATTTTTGCAGTGGGGCAAGAATGATCACAGTTATAAATATAGAAATCAGATTCACCTAAGTAGTGAAATTACTGATAGATTTACATAGGGGTTAAATGTGTGTACACATTTCTCTACACTCATATAAATCCATGTATTTTATTATATGTAAATCATGCCTCAATTTACATAAAATCCACTTGGGGAAGACAGTAGAGAAAGCAAGGTGATAATTATTCTGTTTATCATGTAACAAAGAGGTAAATATCAAAGCCGTCTCTATTCCTACTCAAGTAATTGCAAAATACATGAATCCCTTTTGCTAGTTTTTCCTGATATATGAGACTTATTGGATTAACTTGCTTTTCTGGAACAATAGTGAGTACTCCATCTTCATTCTTTGATCTCTCTTGAGAGATATATGATTCTATGCAGATGTGAAGCTCCATGAAGGATATATAAATCACTGGGGCAACTTTTAATGGCCAATTCTACCTACTAGATTATTTTGCTATGAAATCTTTTACAGTCCAATTGACTATCCAAATATGGGTACAAAGAGGAATCTTTCCCATTTTCCAGTCCTTCTCTGCTGTCTTTCTTGAATTAACTTGCCCTATATCCCTAAGTTATATCCTGGGGTTCAGCATCATTGTGATAGCTACTAAGGGAACTACTAATCTTCAGTGACATGGAAAGCTTGGTGAGTTCACTTTTGCTTCTGATGAGCTAACTTGCAAATTCACAATCACTATGTGAAAATCATTCCACTTGACTTCCTGTGCTACACGTTTTGGCTTGTCATCGAACAGATTGTGTGTACATTGTCTTTCTGTTAAGACCATCTGACCTTGGAAGTGAGATGAAAACACACTAAACCAAGTGAGAAGTTATTTAATACACAATTTGCTCTCTATTGGTACTTCACAAATTTTAATGAAAAAATAAATATTTAAGATGGAAAAGTATGGCTAACAAATGTTTCAACAGTTGCCTTTAGATATGATATTGCTCAATGATAAAATCCAAGAAGTGATCAAAATTGGAGATTGCATCACCTGACCTGAGGTGAGGGAAGCTGAAGGAGTTAGAATCCAGGTGAAGGATGGTATTGGTAACTAAATCTATAATATGGGCTTTATAACCAATACTCACAAAGTGGAAACTACATAAAACGTTGGACTTCCACTTATTCTCATCCCAGTTTCAGGATGTTCCCAGTCATCCATGGTCAGACTCATTTTAACAACTCAGTTTTACTTTGGAGATGAATATCCCCACTCTACAAAGTGATAAAAGCCAAGGAGGGGATATTTCTACGTGACCTCCCATTGAAGTTCTACTTAAGGTCACAGCCATTGTGCTAGGCCACTCAGAAGAAGTACATATTTACAGACAGTCATGTCTGGCTTTATTCTCCCTCTTCTCAGCCTCTTGGCATTCTACGAAGAGGCCTCACTTCCCACAGCTGGTCATTTAGGTATCTCCAATTCAACTATACTAAGGAGGCATGCCATGGTAGATCTTCCTAGCAAGACTCGGGAAAACCAATGGCTTTACAACAAGAATCATGGACTAGAATGCAGTGTTGCATGGTCCCTTAAAAAAGGTATTTAGTTTGAGGATGTATGCACTATTTTAAGAAAACCAAGAAATGTTTACAAGCCTCAGTTATTGTTTTCATTAAACAATAACATTGTCATGTGGGGAGAATACATGTAATCTTTTCTACTTTATCTAACAGAACAACATTCAGAAGGAAATAGACACTGCTGTTTAGCATCAACAATGTTACAATTTGGGCAAGTCCAAGACAACTTTCTACCCTCACACCCAGAAATTAGGGGACTTTATTTCCAATTTTAACAACCTACATACTTCCCAACTGTTTTGTGTTGCATGCTATGTTTTTTATTTAGAAAAATAATGACAAAAAAAATGATGCTTTTTTATTCGGAAAAATGATGAAAAAAGAGAAAGTGACTTGCTCAAGGGCACCTAATTTGGTAGCTAAGGTGTGAATTCCATAAGATGTGACTAAACTACTAGACTAGTTTAATAATAGACTAGAAGTAGAAAACCAGATTCCAGGGTTAAGTGACGGTCATTCTATTTTAGCACAGAAGTGATTAGTAGTAAAGATGAAAGAGAGGGTCTATCACTGTCATAAAAGTCATCTTGTTATTTCTCATCATCTATCTCCAACTGGGAACTATGGTTTGGTCTAAGGAGGGTCACAGGTCCCCTGAAATTGTATAAATATATTTTCCCCCTAAGAAATGGATCCATAATTTTCATATTCTTAGTGGAGTTTGTGCCAACAAATCCCCCACTCACTTCCACTCTTCTCCCCAAACCCCCAGCTCAAAAAGAGCAGTTAAGATCAGAATGGCTTGGCTTATTTGGAAGAGTTGTTCAGCTATCTGATGAGGTATGTAAGGGCTTTTGTAACACGGCTATAATTGGATCAACCCGGAGGAGAAGCCGCTGAGAGGAAAGGGAGGCCAGTCTTACTGTATCAACCCTTTTCCACCCAGGCCTGGTACCATCCTGGACACTCAAGCGAAATGTACATCTTAGGAAACTCTAAGGGGAAACTGGTGAAATGGATTTCATTAAACTTAAAAAAACCCCCCAAAACCCAAACTTCTTGTACTTTAAAGGACATCATCAGGAAAGCAAAAAAAAAAATAAACTCCCACAGAATGGGAGAAAATAGTTGCAAATCATATATATGATGATGGCCGAGTATTTAGAATATATAAATAATTCTTACAATTCAACAAGGAAAAGGCAATTCTAAAAATAGGCGAAGGATGTGAAGATACATTTCTTCAAAGAAAATATACAATGCCGATAAACACATGAAAAGATGCTAAACATCACTGTGAATAAAAAACCACAAGAGATACCACTTCAAACACACTAGGACAGCATAATAAGTATAGGCTAAGACACGCAGAAATCAGATTTCTCAGCATTGCTGGTGGAAAAAATAAAATGGTGCAGCCATTTGGAAAATAGTTTGACAATTCCTCAAAAAGCTAAACATAGAGTTATAGTATGCCCAGTCAGTCACTCCATTCCTGGACATATACCCAAGAGAGTTGAAAACATAGGTTCACACAAAAACTTGCACACGAAAATGTTCATAGCAGCATTATTCATAATAGCTAAAACGCAGAAACAACTGAAGTGTCCATTAGCTGATAAATGGATAAACAAAACGTTCATACAGTGGAGTATAAGATTCGGTATGAAAAAGAATGATCAATACACAGTACAGCATGAACTGAAAACATTATGCTAAGTATGCTACTGTATGACTTTATTTATATGAATAGGTAAATCCTCAGAGACAGAAAGTAGATTGGTGATTACTTAGAGTTGGGGAGGGGAGTGAGTATTAACAGACACTCAATTTCTTTATGAAGTGATGAAAATGTCCTAAAATTGCTTGCAGTGACAGTTGTATAACTTTGTGAATATACTAATAATACTAAATTGTACACTTTAAAAGGGTGAATTTTATGGGCATGTGAATTATATCTCGATGTAAAAAAAAAAAGCAGCTTCAAGGGGAGAAAAATTAAGAATGTATGGGCTTCTGGAAAGTATGAACTCATAGGGATCTTAATGACTTTGAGGTCCCCACAAACCGAACTTTTAAAGTGTGCTCTGCGAAGCCTAAGAGGCTGTTTAGACTCTCCCAGAGAAGCTCAGATGGGTGGTGGGCAGCGAAGAGTGGCAGAGCCAGAGAGCAACTTGGCTACTTGGACTGTGGGCCCTTTCATCCTTGCCCCTCATCCGGAGTAACTCTGTTTTGATTTGTTTCACATACTGACCTTCTTGGTATTGTTTGAAGAACGAACGCTGCCACTAAAAACAGCCTGAATAAAACTCGAATAATGTTATCATTTTACAGATGAGGAAACTGAGGCCCAAATGGGCAGAATGACTTGTCAAACTCCAGTTTGCAGCTCAGACAGCGGAAGAATTCAGGTGTCTGGACACCCAACCCAGCTCTTCCCCCGGGGGGTTCTCCTTCTTGCTAGAGTTCTTCCACTTAACTCATTTTTAGATACTGAGTCTCCATATCAGTGGTTCTCAAATGTTATCTCTGGAGCAGCCAGCAGCATCAGCATCGCTAGGGAACTGGTCAGAAATGTGATTCTCAGGATACCCTAGACCTACCAGAAACTCTTGGGGTGAGACCTAACAATTTGGGTGTTAAGATGCTCTCTAGATGAGCTAAGTCTAATACACATTGAAATTTGAGAATCACTGCTCCAGATCATTCACATGAACACAGGGTGCCATGAAAGAGAACCAAGGACCCTTTGCTTTTGACTGTAGTGCCTAGAATGTAACTACCAGGGAAAGGTCCTCGACGGGAAAATCAGTCAAGAGCAGAAGTTAACCAGGGCAGGGGTGGGGGCTGAGGGAGCTGACTTGTAGGGGAAACAAGGTTGGAGATGATCTTGCCAGGAAGAGAATACCACCAACCCACATTTAAAAATGGAAGGTGCTGAAGGAGAAAATAAATAACGAATAAGGAGCAAATATAATTTAGTAAAAATTCTGTACATGTAAGGCTGGTATCGAAAGATCTGATTTAGGAGCAATTTATGCCAATTGGCAACAACATAGAGTTGCCAGAAATGTTTCTGAATTAATTCTAAATTGGTATATGAATATCTAGCTGGCTTAAGGCCATCAGAGAAAAATGATCATGATAGTCTTTAATCAAGCCCAAGTTGCTGTTTCCTTCTCCTTTACATTTTAAATACCGCTTTGGAATTGCAAACTTAGCAAAGGACTAAACTTTTGGTCAGGGAGGATTTACAATCAACTCAGTCGAGGGAAAACTGAAAGTCTGCAATTTTTTGAAAATTCAGAACCTGCTGGCTGGTAGCAGGGTGATCTAACGTTATACATCCTGTAAGTTGCTTGGTGCAAGAAAGAGCTCTCTTGCTTTCCAGATGTTTAAAGTGATAAGATGCACTTCAGATGTGTAAATGACCTGCATTCTGGCAAATACAGATCTGTTGGCGATACTAGCCTAATAAATAAGGTTGTCAAACGTCATTTAGCTTAAAGGAACTTTATGGCCACTCCACTCTAGCCAAGAATCACTTCCAAGTGACTGACATTCTCATCAGCACATGCTTTAGAAATTTACTTGACAAACATACCGAACATTTATCGGGGGCTTAATCCACAAATGTTAGAGTATATTCCTGAAGCTAGCAGACTGGGATAGATGGAAAGAATTTATGAAGTTTTCTTCTACATGATCAATGGAGAGGGGGAAGAAAAACTGTATTTTTTTTTTCTTTTTTTTTACCTCTTGGCCCATTTCCATGCTGCAAAGTTTTGTTGATTGAGCTTTGGCATCAACCATAACATTAAACATGGTGCATATTGACTGTGGGACTCGAAAATCTGTTGATCGACTGGTTTTTTGCAGCTTAACTTCAAATGCAATCCTGGTTCTATTAAAACAAAGTAGGAAAAGACCAATTCAGCGTTCAGATGGCAGCAGGTGGAGGAGATATTTTCTGAGAGGTCAGTGAAAAAGAAAATTGAAGGCTGTAATCAGTTTCAATCGACAATGACTTCACATGTGTTCCCTTTTAAATGACTTTCCCAACTAAGGAAGGCCTATTCATGGAGACAGCCATACACACCCTTCCTTTCTCAGCGGTACACGGAACACCTGTAGCTTAGTGTATTTTTGTCTATAGTGTACATGCTATGGAGAACCCTAATTGCAGGAGAATGAATGAATTCACAAAAACCTGATTATAGCAGTATAGCATATGTAAGTTCTTTCACATTGGCAACTGCCTACCTTGAATTACTTCATTAAAAAACCAAAAAACAAAAAAGCAGTTTCTAATCTTCAAAACCTCACGGTGGGGAAAAATCTTAACATTTAATCTTGACATTTATTGTTGTTTTTTTTATTTCTGGTTTTGAAAGACAAATTTTAAATGTTCAGCAAGTGTATTATATTGCTTTAAACACTAAAAAATTATTTGCTTATTAAAGGTCATAAAAAGGAAATACATCAAGCTATTAAAGATGGCTACCTTTGGAAAGGGGAGTTAAATTAGGAGGCATGGTATTGGGGAAATTCCTTTATGCTTCATTTGTTTGCTTTTCAATGTCAATGTATTATTTTGCAAGAAAAATATATTTTTTAGTAATTAAAAATGTCATACTTAATACACAACTATCTTATTTCTATGCTTACTATACATAGTCTAAAATTCGAAAATTGTATAATGGTGAAATCTGAATGTAACATAATTGTGACATAGGTCAAATTATGACCTCAACAATGTGTTAACTGCTCATAGGAAAAACCTAGACCAACATGGTCAGTTGGTAATACTGGTGTGAGATCTTATCCTCCACATCAGCATTGTAGAATGGTCCAGTTCTATTTTAAAAGGTTTCAGGGAAGTGGGTCATATCATCACATGTCTTTTAAAGAAAAGCATCTAGTTAGTAAGTGGCTTTATTAAAGCCCCTTTGTCTGATGCATCGTTTTAGCATTATTTACTGTCCACTTCTGGAGATCATGCAGCCACCAGGAAAGTATTGCTTTAAGAGGAATTGGTAGCAGTTTTCTAACAGTGCATAGGAAGACCACACAGCTAGTTAGCTCAGGAAAGGATGCCAGCTTGCTAACACACCCTGGGTGCATACAGGAAAGCCAAGTATAATTTCTAAGGTTGGAAGCCCAGTTCTTAAGGAAAAAAAAAGAAAAAACCCAAACCCTTGAAACACCCCTATATATTATATGATCATGTTAAGGATAAATGTATCTTGGCTTCTAAATACTTAGTGCACCGAAGTAGCTTTCTAATCATGATGATCATTTTAAGCTATGCTGAAAATACATCATTTGCTGGTTTTGTGAAAAGGAGCCCTGATGGGGACTGTGTTGGACAGGTCCCTGTGCTGATCTTCTGAGGCTTGTATGCCAGTTCCGGCCCAATTTGAGAAATGGAAATGCTAAATTGCTCCCTTCCAATGAAGTAATCAACTTCAGTTTTCACAGAAGAACTATTCACAGCCCTTGGAGTGCAGGGTTGTGAAAAGAGGAAACTGAATGCAAAATTAATATGACTGAGAGAGCTCTATGGGACCAAAAAAACAGAAATGGAGAGGTCACTTAACCCAACTGACTCTCCTTGAGGGCAGAGGCAGAGTGCCTTGTTTTGTGTTCAGCACAGTACCTGACATAGACTAGACTAGGTTCTATAAATGTCTGTCAGATGAATAAATTAAATTTCTTGGAAACTGAGACAGGAGAAGTGCCTTACTGACTTTTTCAGTATTAATATTTATATCTATGAAAAAATATCCTTCCTACACTGGCCTAGAACAAAGATTATTTATTCTGTCTCAAAAAGGAACACAATGATTCTAGGCTCTTCTAATGTAGATTCTATGTCTTAAAACATATAAGGACCTTTCCAAGTTTTAGCCTTTCAATCTGGAAGTCTGGCGATGATATTTCTACCTACCTTTGCTCTTGTCTGGTTTTGTGCTTATGTCTGGTGCCTTGATTAAAAGGGGCATCAGGAAATTTAAGTGTCCAGGTCAGCCTTACAAGTGCACCAATTGCTGTCAATACAAGCTTACTTAACAGCTACTGTGCACCGTGTATGATGTTGAAACCTGGGGAGTGTGAGGAGCACCAGATGAACAAGATCCACTCCCTGCCTGTGAGTAGTTCACCCTCTCTAGGATCTGAATCATAAAGATGAACCATGTGGTAAGGGATAAAATAGGAGTCCCTATCTACCTCTGACATCCTTATATCTTCTGTTTTTCTCTGAGCATCTCCCTATTTCTTATTCCCTATCCCAAAGACTGACTTCTCACTGAAGGACATACATGTCTTTCTGTACAGTTTTGTGTACAGATCAGGAGCTGGGAAATCTTAATTATAATGCATTTCAGCCCCTAGGACAGATCATGCAAGACGTTTTTTGGTTGATACAGACTGTGTAGGAGATGGTGGAATTTAAAACTCTTAGGAAATATTTTGACCTTGGGTTTGTGAAATGGGCCTGCCTTTGGTTCTAAGAGTAGAAGGAAAAAAATAAAAAACAAAACCTCAAAACCTCAAAACCTGGATGACTAGGACTTGACGTTTCCAGAAGAGGCCTCAAACACCTTCCCAGATTCTCCATAGCACATAGATCCTTTCCCAGTACCTGCTGAGATGCTGATCACCTACCTGGCCTTGCATTGTTCTTCTGCCCTTTTGGTTTTCAGTTCTGATGCTATTACTTCCCCTTTCTTCTTCCAAGATATAATATGATGAATGCAGCGCACTTCTAGGCAAATCCAGCCTCCATCACCCACAACTGATCCATCAACTAAACTACACAACATCTGGAGACCTGGAGTAGCCTGTGCTGCTTGTGGTCTCTCTCTCTCTCTTTTTTTTTTGAATGAGGAAAAATAATGGAACAGTTATGAACTGGAAAAGGAACTTGGATGTGCATCTAGGGGTAAATAGGCTGATGATGATGAGGTCACATCAGTGGAATTTCATTTCTGTATTTGGTATACAGATATAAATACTCCATGAGGAAAGGGATGCAGTCTCTCATTCTCCATTGTATGCCAAAAACACAGCCCTGTGCCTGGCTTATGGGAGGAGCTCAAACAATGTTATTTGAATGCATGAATATTGTCCTCATTTTCTTTGCCTTATCTTTCTAGAACAGTCTGTCTGGGAACTTTAAATACAGCCAGCATTCCTACCCCAGTCCCATAAACCACAGTGACCAAAAAAGGCAATCTATGGGTAGGAAAAATGTATGTTCAACGTTTCATGCCCCCTTGTTGACATCCAGCTAGATTTTGGGCAAGACCATGAAGAGCTGGCACACAGGATATGCTCATCTCTTATTTCCAGACTGAGTGATGTGGAGGCCTGGGGAGGGTGAGGAGCACCAGATGAACAAAATCCACTCCTTTCCTGTGAGTAGCTCATATTGCTGGGAAATCATTAGATTCCCACTACCCCTACTAGACATACTGGTTATAGAATGGCATATTCTTCTCTTTTTTCCATCCAGCTGTCCACCATGTACACGCTTATTCATTTAAAATTTGGGTAAGTATTTTGTGCCAGACACCACTTGATATTGTGGATACAGAGACAAACAAGAATGGACAGCGATCTTTTCCTCATAGAGCCAACAACCATGAAAATGTTGGCAGCCAGATTATTTTGCGTTTGGGACAGATGGAGGGCAGGTGAACAGAAGTTGGACGTTGGCAGCCACCACACCATCTGACTTTGACAAGCAATCACCTTCTCCAAAAAAAAAAAAAAATTCCCAATTACAGCTATTTGAAAGAGCAGCCGTCTACCCTTCCTGGAGTTCGTGTACAGTGGGGAAGGCATGCGGAATTTGTCCAGCCACTTATGCTTACCTTTTGACACAAGACTCAATCATGTCACTTGCCATCAACTTCAGCCGTTGTTCCAGGTGCTTTCCAAACTCTTCCTCGGGCCAGTGCAAGTCCCGAATGAAGGTCTGAAGGGCATCAAGTTTCCAGAACAGATCTTCTGAGGTACCTGATCCATTACTGGCAGGATAAAGATTAGAAAACAAGAGTCACCCACTGGCCCCAGGCTCTGTGAAAACTAACACAGAGACAACTGGGGGCTAGAAGGCTTAAGGCAAACAGCAGCTTCAACATACACAACGACGTGTGTTGGCGGTGGAGGCGGGGGCAGTCTCCACCGGCAGATTTTGAGTTTTACCATACATGACTTAGTCCGCTTTGCTTGGCCAATTACTCCAGACCAGTGAGAAGTCTGAAGAAGGTGTTGCCCCATAACATCCAGGAGAATGGTGTATGGTAAAAATCAGCCTTCTTTTAATAACCACATTAACACATGTGATGATTCAGATGAAGGCCACGAACCAGGGGAGAGAGAAATCTCAACGGCTAATAACTACATGGCAACATGCAGTTATTAAAATTCAGGGTTTCATGCATTTCCCCAGCTCCTCTCCAGAGTGGAGGCCTCTTGGAGATTGCACAAGACTTTCAGTTTTAAAAGGACAGTGCTAACAAAGTGGTGAGCGAGGACCCTCTTTCTCTCTTGAAGAGCTGGAAAGAAACTGGGGTGACTCATTGAGATGGGTATACCTGGATACCTTGAATCCAAAATTCTCACTCAGTTTGGTTATTATTCCAATTTTCACAGACCAGCCTGTAGCATAGGCAGGGTCCTCACCAAGATGAGGTGAGTTGGGGCAGGGGAGGTTAGTGGACAAGGGATATTCTCAATGCTTTAGGGCTCAAAACCTGAGCTCTTTTACCATTGCATCATCTTACCCAGTCCTCTGTGCAGATGGGGAAATTGGTCTTGATGCCTTTCTGTACAATGACGTGTAAGAAACTTTTTCCTGGGGCATCCACAAAAAGCCTGTGTATAAGAAGTGCTCCATCTCTCACCCTCTTGTCCTTCTCTGACTGGCTTTCTCTTTTGTAACAATCCCATTTGGAGCTCTGAGGGGTGGCTGCCCCCCACCCCCTTCCTCGCATACCACTAATGCTAACACGGTAATTTATAAAATGTCCAACACACCATGCATTACCACTTGTTCTGACATCGTCTATAGAAACAGATGAGAGTGGGTGTTTCTATTGTGACAGATGCCAGCTGCATTGAATTAATGCTTCAGAGAGAAATATAGCTAGTGCATAAATGCATACACAGCTACTGCAGGGCGGGGAGGGGGTACACTCCCAACATGCCGAGAGGGAGCCTACGGCCTGGACCAACAGGGCAACGTTTTCAAGGACAGACCAGTCTGAGGTCAGTACGTAGATGTATCTGACACGGAGGAGCAGGTAACATAGAAACACGTCCTTAAAATGAAAGGTGGCAAAGGAAGAAACTGGAATTATGAAAAGATATAGAATCAGGCATTTCCTGGTGGGTGAGTGAGAATCCACGCCTTCTCTTCAGATACTGCTGCAAGCATCGTTCAAAAGTGGGGGAATGCATTGTCTCTCTGTGAAAGTTCAGCTTTCCCCCTACCCCATCCTATGCTTGGGAAAAAGAAACCCCAACTTTGTCTAGCCTAAGCCCCGTTTTGGAACTGCATGGTTGTATGTTTTAAATCATTAAGTACATATGAATGCAATAGTTGGTATTTATTACAACAACATTTTGACACCCATCTGGTTTCAGAGTTTCAAAAAATTCTTGTAGGGTTTTTTTTTCTTTGAAGAGCTTATTATTAAGTTTTGACATGAGGAAAAGAATATTTTCTTTTTATTTTTAAGATAAACTGTTAATGTTAAGGCAATAGCACCAAGATTATTTTGATTGCTGAGCAGTTACCAAAATGTGTTCCCACTCATGCCTTAATTAATTGAACGGAGACCATTATCTGCTTTATTACAATGTCTTGATTCATATCTTTTCGAAAACAATGTCACAGAGCATGCACAGAAGAAGGTAAGAGAAACTTTCCGATATTTATTTTTAAATTTTTAACAGATACTACCTAATCTAACTTTTAATATAGTGATCTTAGCATGAATATGATTTGTGTTCAATTTTAGAAGTGTTTTATTTTAGATATAAATTTTTGGAGGTTTTGATTTGTCTTTAAAAGAGAATCAGACACATTGGCTATATTATTTCACTGTGAACTTGTGAGAAATTATAGGTTTAAAAAATGCTATGTAGCTTTGGAGGATCCAGGTAGAGCAGTCATTTTAATGGCCTGTCCTCTAACTGGATTACTGCAAAAATAAAATTGCTGAGGGCCATCTTGATGAATGTGATTTCAAGATTTCAAAACATCACTGCCAGTTTCAGATCATTTTTTATTCCTTTGATAATAACACTTCCCTTTGAAAATGTGCCAATTTATTCTTTCAAGAAAAAGCTTATCTGGCCTATAATTAGCTGTGGCCTAAGAAAAGGATCAAAGAAGGGTATAGAATCGCTAAACCTTATTTCACTTATTAAATCATGCATGTGGTTCTAATTTAATTTCCCTGAGGTAGAATTTAGGGGTGCTGGATCTTCTTCTTGCTAAGGAAAAAATGAGCATGGATTCATTTCCTAAGCTAGAAGAAATGGCTTCTCAATCCCCAGTCCCTCAAACTGCTGGCTTTAAAGAAGTGACTCATGCAACTCTGACATTCATATGGACAAATGTAAAGCATGACCCTTGGCCAAGCGCACTGGATCATGCCTGGAATCTCAGGCAGAAGGATTTCTTGAGCTCAGGAGTTCGAGCCCAGCCTAGGAAACATAGCATCCTTGCCTCTACAAAAAAAAAAAAAAAAAATCAACCAGGTGTGGTGTCACACGCCTGTAGTCCCAGCTGCTTGGGAGGCTGAGGTAGAGGATCACCAGAACCCAGGAAGGTGAGGCTGCAGCGAGCCATGATTGTGCCACTGCACTTCAACCTAGGTGACAGAGTGATACCCCAACTAAAAAAAAAAAATGCTAAAAGCAATAATGAGCCTATACTGAAATGCCAGATGATATGGCTACAAAAATTTATTCGTTGTTTGAATCTTGTATTCCCAAATTTAGTGGTCTTTTTGCTACCTAGATCTCAAAGCCCAGTATTATATTATAACTTTGGAATGTACATAACATTTTTTTAACATAACATTTCCATGACTAAGGCTTGATCCATTCAGAAATTTTCATTTAGCCCTGAACATACTGTTACTATATCCTGCCATTTGCTGACACCAGAAATATGCTTTATGGTTTAAACAGTCTCTAGGAATTTATATATATATTTAAAAACCTCAGCTTCTAGACAGGTGTGCTTCCCTCTTACATTTAGATCAGGCCAGAGATGACTGGCTAGCCCATCAAAGAGGTTTCCTGGACTATTTTTAGATGACTAACTCCTAAAGTCACGTCACCTGCATTAAAAAAAGGAGGGGGGGGGATAGAATCCTTTTGCAAAAGAATTCAGGAAGTAAAACATAGTTCTCAAGCATTCAGTGGGCGTAAAACAAATTGTTAGTGCTGTATATATAGCAAATATCTTACAAACATGATGCATGCCAGAAATAAACAATATTGTCTCTGTATGATCAGCAAAATATGTCTAATTATCCATCTCCATCTCTGTTATATAGGATGTATAGAAATAAACAATACATATCCATGCCAAGATCACTTAAATTTAAATGAGATCTAATGTGAACTGAATACACACTCCGCATCATATATAGCAGCCATCCATGACGGTGCCGAAAAAGTAGGCATTTGTGGGATGCCTAGAGGGATGTTAACTGGTAGATTTGGTACTTTGGGAAGGTTCACATTGGGTAGGTTCACATTGGGTAGGTTACTGGTTAAACTCCTGTGGAAGAAACAGACAGAAAGAAAAAATACCATCACAGTGACAATGCAGATGTGGCAGAAGCACACGACAGTTGTAAATAAATTGGCTAAGTCCACAGCAAGACAACAGCAAAAACTCAAGTGACACACTTCAGAAAGCAGCTTGCAGATGGGAAACTGTAGTGTGGTTCCATATTCAGAGAGAAATGACAAAAGTTAATGGAGAAAAGTAACGACAGAGCGACTTAAACGTGTGGACACTCATGGAGCACCCATATACAATGATCACATGCCTTTGGGAGGGGCTTTTGGTTTCCAAGTCTGTTTCTGCTATAAGAGTGTAGAACTTGCCTCATACTAGGAACTTGAAGTTCCTGAAATTCTTGGTGTGGCTAGCGATGGGTCTTCTGTGAAGTCACTGGGATTGACAAGAATGGTGGAGTTGACTGGGCTTGGTGGCTCAGCCTGTAATCCCAGCATTTAGGGAGGCTGAAGCAAGTGGATTGCCTGAACCTGCGGGTTCAAAACCAGCCTGGGCAACTTGGTGAGACCTCTTCTCTACAATAAATAAAAAATTAGCCAGATGTGGTAGTGCATATTTGTAGTTCAGTTACTTGGAAGGCTGAGGCAGAAGGATCGTTGGAGCCCAGCAGGTCAATGCTGGGGTGGCCATGAGTGTGCCACTGCACTCCAACCTGGGTGACAGAGTGAGAGTCCAACTCAAAAAAATAAAAAACAAAAAAAGAATGGTGGAGTGCTTCAATCTTCTTGCTTTTATTATAAGTTATTGTCGAAGGAGGGTGGCACATTTCTCAAGTTGGATATTAGATACAAGATGGAACAGGAAGTCCACCCATTTGAGTACACACCTAGTTGGAAACTGAAATCTTTCCAACTGACACTTCTAAAGACAGGTGTATGGGTGTCAGACTTGATGGCAAAGAGTAAGAAGAAGAATAAGATTCAAATAATTTTACAGAAAATTTAAAGAAAATGTAAACTTCCTCTCCCAAACTAAGTCTAATTAAAACGCAGAACTGTTTGCACACAGAAACAGACATCTAGAAAAAGAAAACAATCCCAAATTCAGCTCTTAGATTCAACTCTTTGACTAAAAGTAGATTTAAAATGTGGCTTCTTATCACAGTAGTTACACTTGGAAGTGGGACAGAGACTGAAAGAAAGTATGACAGGAGCTTCTGGGGTACTGGGAATGTTCTATTTCTTGATCTGAATGATGGGTTACATGGGGTGTGTTCAATTTGTGAAAATTAATCAAGCTGTATATTTTTCTGTAACAAGTTAAGAATGTTACCTCGTGTCAGCCTTTTGTTTTTGGACAAAGAAGGATAAACCAATGTGATAGAAGAGAGATGGATGGTTTTATGAGTAAAGAGAGAAAATAAAACAAAACAAAACCCTCAACTTGAATCAACTGTATTTCTTTGGAAGGACTGTGTCATATATCGCTCCACAAGCTGGCACTGCAAGTCTCTGTAGTGGCATTTTAAGGGTGTTCCATCCAGCCAAAGTCACTGGCACGGTGGAGCCAGCCTAACTCTGCATCTGAGAGGAGCCTTCCTGTTTAAGTGAAGTTGACAGCACTTTGGCAAAGGACTTGAGGCTCTCTTTTTGGATCTTGCAGGAGAAGTGCAAATTTTGCCAAAGCAGCTCTGCCCTGGGCAAGCTGTGTTTGACTAACAGGACTCCTGTGAGAACTGGAGCTGCCTCTGGGCTTGGTTGGGGTATCATGCCTCCTGCTAAGTCAGAAATTCTGGACCTTGCAGATAGCCTGGATGTCTGTTTCTCTCCAGAAAAAAATGACTCTTTCACAGTGGAAATATAGCCTGGGCTTGTAGACTGAAAAGCCTAGAATGCAAAATTGTCTACCTGGCATTCTCTTCCTTTTAAAGAAATAGGTGTCTCACATACTTGTCCTTTGCACATCACATTTTGGGAAGGCCGAAGGTATATCTCTACTCGGGACTAAAGGGTGCTCTTGCAGGACTGGTCAAGAATTGATTAGCTAAATATGACTATTAAGTAGAAGGGAAACTGGAACTTTTTCTTCCATGAGTCTCCGTTTTACTGGGGAATATGACTTTGAATTCAGTCCCTGGTGGTTCTCAGTCTTAAACACTACCGTGTAACAAAACTGTTGGCGATTTTCACTGAGACATGTGTAAGCCTATATAAGCAAATGTGATCATTAAATGATACACACACTGAATAATGATCAAGGAATTAGGAGATCTTGGAGATGGCAGCCTGGAAAGTTAAAATGTCAATTCTGAGCAAATTAAAAGTAGCTAGGAATGAATAACATACAAATGTATGCAAAAGCAACTTAATTTAAACATATTAGCGGATGGTGGGTACACACAGTAGAAACAAGCTTCATTTTGCACACAAAAAGTAAAAAAAAACTTATATTAATCAAAACATATTGTTTTTGTAAAATATGACATTTCAGCTGGACTACAGCACTGGACTCAGAAACATTTCCTTCATGTGACATTTTATAATGCTCTACTTGTAAAAGGCTAAAACATGCTTGATATTTCTGCTTTTAGCAAGCTAATACAGTGTATTACTAATGTTACTAATATTTCATTTGGACATTAATAACATAATTATCAAGGAGGTAGTTCCAAGCATAAGATTTCACTAATATACATGTGAAAAGGGGGAATTTTCAAGTAGCACTTAGTTCTAATCAGGCTCCTGGAGCTGCTGATGGCTGTAGTGAATTATTTTAAAGAGGGCCCTTTAGCATCCACCTAAAAACAAGTCAGTCGTGCTTCTCTGTGAGAATCATAATTGGATATCTCTGGATAGCACAAGAAGTGTGAATTACAATCCTAACAACTGATATCTGTTAAATTTTGGACTCTTCCATTCATTTTGGGGACTCTGTTGAAAAAACAAAGCTCCCCATTTAGATCAAAGGGCCCATTCCTGGTTGGTTTAAAAAATTTCTCATCTACTCACTCTTACATGGATGAATGTTACAGATAAGCATGTATCTCATCATTTCTATTGATGAAAATGACTGGAGGTGAAGTAATTCCTTATGTCTAGAATTAATTCTAAATAAAGACAATGCCTTCATGCAGAAGGAATATGGTAACAATTGTGTCTTCTCTCAAAGATTTCCACTTTAGATTTATGGATAAAGTTAGATTTGAGATACAAAATGCCTTCTACTTTTATGAGTCACTTGTCATATGCATATATGTAGTACATCTTGTCTTTTCTTGGTGCTCTGAACATTAAAACCTCTCTCAGTGTTTGTTGTTAGGTCTAATCCCTATTTTGGGGCATAAGCACGCTCGAATATTTTCCTGGTGTCTAAACTTCTTCTAGAACTTACTTCCTTATAACAACTTACTTCTCCATGAAAATTTAATAGCACAGATATACAGTATATCTGTTTATACATCATACGCAGACCTGTGCTTTATATGTAAGAGTAAGATGTTTTTACCCACCTCCCCAGCAGGAGCCAATTTTCACCAGCTTAAAGGCTGTAAAGCCCCCATTGAGAATGCATCACATAGAGAAAAAAATCCAAGCTTCATGGGATTTTAGAACCTCCCACACATCTCTCCAACCTTATGGCTTGCCTCCTTTATAATCCATGCTGGCCAACACCCAACATTCACGCTTTCTATTGCGTGTCTTCTTTCTTTCCCCTATGTTTTCACCATGATCCTTCCCGGCACCTCTACTTTACCCCTTTTGAAATCTTACTCTCCAAGCTGTTTCCTTTATGATCCATCAGTGGAAATTCATTCCTCTCTTCTCTTCTCTATGCTCTTCACTATGCTCTCTCCTTATATTATTTGTATGTTGGTAAATATTTAATGTCATTTTTCTTGTGTGCATGTTGCTCAGACCCAACTAGACTGAAAGCCTCAATTGGGGGAATGCATCTTTTTCTCTTTCCAATCCCCATAGTTTTCCTGTTGTATCCTTACAAATTTCAGTATGTGGGTTCCTTGATAAACATATGAATCAATAAATATTTATTGAGCACCTGTTATGTCCCCCAGACCTGTCTTAGGTGCTTGGGAGGCACTGATGATCAAATGTGTATAAATATGAGTTACATTTTCACATATGTTAGTACTGTAAAAGCTTTGGTTATTCAAAATCTTTGTTTAACAAAGGGGGGCACTAAGCTTCAGGAAGGTCACTTGTGGGAGGGTCTCATAAAACTTGGTGGCCCAAGTTCATCTAGCAAGTTACTGGCAGAGAGTCAAGAGTTCTGACTCTAAGTCCAATACTTGTCTATTTGATACCAGGCCACCTACATACTGCTAAGGTGTCTTTGATCTGATGATTTATTATCATTAATATTTAATGGTGAATATGTTAATACATTCCACTCTAATAATCATTTTACGATATATATATCTTATAACATTATGTTGCACACCTTAAAAATACACAATAAAATTTATTTTTAAAAAATATATTGACATTTTGGGAAAGAATATTATTTTAAAAATACTTTTCATATGCATATCTCAGGCAGAGAGAGAGAGAGAAAGTGCATTTTGATAAATGAGAAACCCAGATTTTACAGTGTGCAAAGATCAAGAAGCAGTGTTTAGTTCTACCATTCAGAGCCATCCTGATCTGAAATGGGCAACCATGCAGCCAAAGATTCCCTGTGCCTGGAGGTGTTTAAGTAGAGACGGAGTGACCATCTGTCAGGAAAGGGTAGTAGGCGAGGGTGGGGGAGTTACTAGACATGTAAGACTTTAAATAAGATGCTTTCTAGGTTTGTTTTTTTTTTTTTCCCACAATGAAGGTTACCATAGCTCATTAACAATGAGCCAATGTTAAAGAACTCATGAAAATATTGTCTACTTCTTGTTAGGACCAAAAGCTCATATTCACAGCTGTCACAAGGGTTGTGAACAACCTGCCCATCTATGAGTGCTGGCCCTATGATGTGTCCTGATGGAAACCCATGAGAGACCTATGGGTTCCAGAGTTTAATTGACAATTTGGGCCTTTGAGAAACTGATTATCTTCAGCTGTGGTTAGAAGCTACAAGATGGCATCTTCCACCAATTCACAGAGATTCTGACCATGACTGTATCTGGCTTAATGGAAACAGAGTTGTAGTCTCTCTTTTCTCTCCTTGAAGAGATGGAAAGCCATCTTTCTAGGGAAAGGTTGCAATAGGACTTAGCCACTGTAACATTTCCATCAATTAGCCTCAACTGTATAAGACTAAATGATCATATCTCATTTTCATTTACAGGGTCATAGTCTGAAAAAAGAAAATCTGAAGAATAAAAAATATTTTTAATTCTATTTTTAGCAAACTCAACACATTGGTAGTATATTCTTGTCAGAGTGCTGTTTTTCTTTAGAATTTTGAATATTAGCTATTTTGAGGTAAACATTACAATACATTTCTCATTTTACCTATAATCAGATGTCAATAAGAAAGAAAGAAGAACAGAACTATTTGAGGATAACAGTTGTTTGAGAGAAAGACTGTGGCGAGGGGTGTATTGGCAGAAATCGAAAAGATTGAGCAAATCTATTTACCTAAGTTAGTTTCTTGTTTTGGTGTGAGCTTGATAAGATGCATTTTAAAAAGACGGCTCTTGGAAAAAAAATCCAAGAAGAAAAATGAATCTGCTTCTTTATCAACTCTCCAATAAGTGGTCAGATGGAAGTTCACACTTTGCTTCTTTTGACAAGGTAGAAAGCATGGACAGACACAATCCTCTTAGAATTTAAGCTTGTCCCCAAGCTTTTTTTTAAACCCTCCGTTTGATGCCATTCTGCAAAACTGTCTCATGGCATTCATACTTTGTTTACAAATCAGCTAATAAAACGTGTGTAATTAAAAAAAACTAACTTAGTTTATGTTTTAGTTGGCACTTTAAAACCTCTCCATATACTCTGAAAGGCATATAATATTTAGAGAAACTGAACAAATCACACACAATCATATTCATTAACCAACAGCACAGTTTTGGACAGCAAAAAGCTACTTAAAACATACATATATTCATCTACATAATTATCAGGCTATAATTCACAACTACTACTATATTTGTAGATCTTTAAATTGCTCATCCAAGAGTTCAAATTTCATTTTATCAGTAAAAAAAATCCCCAATTAAACATTCCCAGACTAAAGATTTCCAATTGTGAAGAAGATTTTGATTTTACCTTTACTTCTGATAGTATTAAGACTATTTAATGCTTCAAAAGAAATAGTAATGCTTGGCTTCTGAAGAATTTAACAGGTTATAAAATGACCTAGTGACATCACAAAGCTTCACAACAATTCTCAGACACTGGATAGGGACATTAGAAGATGTTAGTTTTGCAGGGGGGCAAACAAGTTCACAGAGATTCAAACCCTTGCCTTTTGGCTAGAAAATGGAGTGGTTGCTCCCGGCCACTGTAGCCTCGACCTGCTGGGCTACGGCAATCCTTCCACTTCAGCCTTCCGAGTAGCCGGAATTACAGGCATGCACTACCACGCCTGGCTGATTTTTTGATTTATTGTAGAGATGAGGTCTCGCCAAGTTGCCCAGGCAGGTCTTGAACCCACGAGCTCAGGCAATCCACTCACCTCAGCCTCCCAAAGTGGGGGATTACAGGCTGAGCCACGGAGCTGGCGCAATCTCCACATTTAAACACAAGCAAGTAAATATTATTTCAAGACCACTGCTGTTTTCAAATGCAAATATTACTCATTTTAACCTTTTCCTTTTCACAGCCGTTCTCCAAAACACAACTGCCTTGATAATAGTGAGTATTAAAAAAAAAAAAACAGCATCCCTTATTAATAATGCCTTACCTTCAAGGGACTCATTTTTCTCCTCAAGAGTTAAAAGTCATAAGGGGCATATTACAAGACTGTTATAAACCCGAGAATAACAAGCTAAAGTTTAAATTTATTGGTATTTACCAAGGAAGAGCTACTGCTGATTAACCTGCTCTCAGTAGAGTAAGTCAACAAACTTCTCTTTTGGCTCAGATGTGGAAGGGAGGCAGAGAAAGCTGTTTTGCATTAATTTATCAGTGAGAGTCTCATAGAGTGTAATATTAGAGGGAAGGTCTCAGTTCATAAAACTGCTAAAAAAGAGGGCACGAGTCAAAGCTTCCAACTTGAGGAAAAGCCTCTTGAATATTTGTTCTGAAAGTGTGCTTGTACATACCCCTACTTTGCTCCACACTGCTTGCTGTATCCCAAATGTAAACGACTAGAGAGAGCAAGAGTATTTCCTTACAGGAAAAGAAAGATAGAGAAAGAGAGAGAGAGACTCTAACAGGGCAAAGCCAATACAAGGCTTTATTGCAGATTTTTAAATCATATCACAAAACTCTCCATATAAGTCTATTTTTCCAGAAAGGGGAGTCTGAAACTGACCCTCTGGCAGCCTCACTTCCTTGCCTTCTTCCTGGTGGAGAATGGAGGTGGCACTGAATCTTTAAGATGTACCAGATAGTTGTGAAAATTGATGAACTCATAACCCACAGAATTTCCCATAATTTGTCTCACAGGATAGATATCTCATTTTAAAAAAGCATACTGTGTGCTGGGCGTAGTGGCTCAAGCCTGTAAATCCCAGCACTTTGGGAGGCCGAGGTGAGAGGATTGCCTGAGACCAGGGGCTCGTGACCAGCCTGGGAAACTTGGCAAGACCTCATCTCTACAATACATCAAAAAATTAGCCAGGTGTGGTGGCTTGTGCCTGTAGTTTCAGCTACTTGGAAGACTAAGGTGGAAGGATTGCCTGAGCCCAGCAGGTCAAGTCTGCAGTGACCATGAGCATTGCCACTGCACTCCAGCCTGGGCGACAGAGTAAGACTCCAACTCACAACAACCAAAACAAAACAAAAGCATACTGTGGTAAAATATATGAGGAAACTCTGGGGAAAGCAGAGTAAAACAAAATTTTGTATTACTATACTCTCAGAGTTTAAAAATATACCAGTGTGCATTGTGGTTCTCTGGGAGACAAGGGTGTGGTTGGATCATGGGGTATTTAGTGTTTCCTAAACATATTTGGCCATAGAGTACTTTTTTGAGGTTTTTCTCAAGGCCTAGACCAGGGAATGGAAAACCATGGCTCTGCTTTGTAAATGAAGTTTCACTGGAGCACAGCTACATTTGTTCTTTTACATACTGTCTATGACCACTTTCGTGCTGTAGCGGTAGAACTGAGTATTTGTGACTGATATTATGTGACTCCAACAACCTAAATATTTACAATCTGCCCTTTTATAGAAAAGAGTTTGCTGACCTTTTTGCCTGTAACTCTACAGAACACACTTTGGGAAACACAAATTCACAGGAATGACGCCATTGGAATAAGATACTCAGTACAAATATCATAGCCAAGTTTATATTCCTTCTTCCTTCCTCATCTTGTATAGTAAAGATTTCACTTCATAACACATTTATCAACTTCTTCCCTCTTGCCCCTATTTGGCAAGGAAGCTATGGACACCATAGTAGGAAATATGTATGGTGTTTTCCCTCTTTCCATACTAACAATGAAAGCCATATGACACCATTCATTCATTTCTGTATGACTCTCCAGCCATTTGTACCCAAATTCCAATGGTATCAAAAGAGGTTTCCTTACTTGACTGGTTCCCATGATTCCCGCTCAAAGCCCCTGTGAATGGATTGTGCAATTGAGGACTCCATCAGATCCACATATCTAACAACAAGTGGGGCAAACAGGTCTTGCAGATGTTTGTGAAATTTTCCATTGCATAAATTATCTAGAACAGATAAGCAAAAGCTTGGTAAGAACCCACAGCTGCTTTATCAACAAACAATGCTCACACAGAAATGATTGTTTTCTATATTAAATATACCACTTCTAAGGAAGCCAAAAAGAGAAGGGAAGAAAAAAAGTGCATGAACAGCATTGAAGCTCATGCTTAAATCCGTTTGGAAAATAAACCAAATTTGAAAACACTTCTCTCATTTGTAACTACCCTCTAAAAGGAAAAATGATCATGATACTTTAAAAAACAACAAAAACAACAACCCACACTATTTAAAAAAATGTTTTCTTTTGCACTCACTCTTCTTCCTTCCATTAAGCCACCAGGAAGAAAGAACATTTTTACACCCTCCCTTCTTTCATTACCCTCCCTAGGGAGGAAGGGTCTATTTTATGGCTGTTGCTGCTGTTAAGATACTCTGAAATGCTTGACGTGTTATTCAGCTAGAAATTGTTTTTCACCTAGAGAGCATCGTTTGATAAAAAATGCAAAACGTGACGAGTTAAGTTAATTAACTTGTTTGAGAGCAAATAAAACACACACAAAACGGACACCTCTTCTCACATTGCTCTCAGATCTTCTGTCTAGGTAAGAGATGACTTCCCTGCAATAGGATTCTTTTTGGAAGAAAGAGAATGCTCACCAACTGTAAGCTTTTTTTGTTTTGTTTTGTTTTTTTTAGTAATAATAAAACTCTGAAGAGCTATGTCCAGCCTATAGTCTGCTTGGGATGGACACATCTTAGCAATCTGTTTATCTGCATACTACTTAGGAAAGTCAGTCAAAGATAATACATACAGTCAGTACGGAGAAAATCATTCAGCAGCTGAAACAATGGAAAACTGTCCCATGTGTCTGGGGGTTGCACCTCTAAGGCTGCATCCATGTCCACCGCAAAGAGTGACAGGAACGTCTCCGCGTGCTCCACCATTAAGTCTGACCACCACGCAAAGGCCTTTGAAATTTGGCAGAAAGACAACAGACAGAAAAGTGATGAGCTTCTCTCTTGGACTTAAGACAAGAACTCCAGCCCTCACTGTTCAAGATTAATTATGCATCCAGCAGGGTTTGGTAATTTTATTGTAAAGAGAACAGTGTTTTGAATACAATTAGGTCTCTAAGTGTCCACAGCGGTGCTTTTCGTGATTATTTTGACCTCTGGGTCAGAGGATGCAGCTGTAGAAGAATGGCAGATGTAGAACTTCTGTTCAATTTACAATAACTCAGAATGTTTTGAGTCATGCTCTTTATCATTGTTGTTGGCTAGTTTCTTGCTCTAAAGTATTAGAATTTGGGAGTTTCTTCACTGTGTTTATGGGTTTTCTGCTGGTCTAACTTGAAAATTTGTAATTATTGTTCACTTATGTCTACATATCTGGGGGTTAATTGTCTATGGTCTCATACAAACTCAGGGACACATGCTTCCCTACACATTGGAAATGTTACTCCTATTTCATACTAAGTTAAAGGAAACCATTGTTGCAATTGTCACAAAACTTTTAAGTTGAAATCTCTTAAGCAAGGAACCTTTGGTTTTGCATCTGGTCTGGAGGAAAGATCAGGCTTAGGCTAGTAAAAACTGAATAAGCTCAGGACTTACTTTTCTAGGGGTTGGACACATATGTACATTGAAAACCAAAAAATATCAGTGAAGTAACTCATTTTCATGCACATGGGTCCTTGGAAATCATTGTGCAGGGTCTCAGGGGCGACATTCACATCGGACTGGGCCAGATGCGAATGCAATTCAAAGGCATGCATGCATGTTGACTAATCATTTCTGGCAGGGAGCATGCAGAATGAGTGGCGGTGTCAACAGGCCCTGTTTTGCCGATTTCAAAGAGAGCAGAAAAACAAAAACAAATCGCCAGCCCCTTTTTGTCCCCCACCTCCCCACTCAATGCCGTAAAGTATTTACACTGGAAACACTTTCCGGAGCATTCACCAAAAAAAGATGGGAAGGCACTTGAAAACATGAAAGATGATTATGGAAATAATTCCATAAATGAAAGGGTTTGTTCAATGTCCAAGCTCTTCGGTGATCTATTAGTTATTTGAGGGATAATCTAACAGCCACTAGGAGGCAGAATAGGGGTCCACTTCTCTTCTTCCATGAGATTTCACTTTACTTACTTCTCCTTTATCAACATGTGGCTGGTTTGCAAATTAAATGAAAAACATCAAGTCATGGACCATTCTGCAAGGTCAGCTTGGCTGGAAATAGACACCTGCTGCTTTCATTTTAATTTACAGTAAAACCTCACTGATTCAGAGTAATGGGAGAAGGGAAATACAGGTCTGTTAGCAAAAAAAAAAAGCCTACATTATTGAGATTTCTAAAGAGATATCATTTTACTTATTTTGAATACAGGTTGTAATTAGGCATAAAAGTAAAAGGTATTCATAAAGTCTATATTGGTTTTCATATAAATGTATCATGAATATAACAGTTTTTTAAAAAAAACTTCTAATAATTTTAGGTAAGTTGACTTATAAATGAAAGTCAAAGAGATGGAAGATTTAATTTAACAGGTCCTAGGATGGAAAAAAAACATTGGATTCCCTTAACTTGTAAAAAGAGTCTTCACAATTTCTTGAGAAAGCTGAGATATCAAAAATTTTACTTAAGACAAATTGTAAGAACCACATCTGCAATTGAATTGTCAAAGTATTTGGGTCTGAACTGATGAGGTTTTATTGCAGTTTTACCACCTGGGGATGAGAGCCCTGGGGTTTGGGGCTTACTCCACTGACCACCTGGCTAAATCCAGTAGAGACAGAACCTCGCCATCCCACCTTAAAAGCTTTCCCAACCACTTGCCTTTTAGGCAGAGACCATCTGAGAACTGGAACTTGCTGTATGGAGTCCCATCCCTGCTCCCTAAATCTATATGGAGGGCTGACTCTCATCAATCCTGATTCAGGATATTTGAAAAATTTATAAAGACACACCAAATGTTGGCTAGTACTTATTCTTTAGTTATTTAATTAACCTTACATCTTCAGGCTGAGTCCAAGAAAACAGTTATTGGGAATGCTCTTTGCCTCCCCAGACACAATTTTGCTCTAGAATGACAAGAAAAAATCAAAACAAAAAACCAACTCCAAATGCCTGAAATTAAAAATTTCTTGACCCAACCTCATACTTGGTTTTGACCAGCTTTTTAATTTAAAAGTTGCAAACCAGAGGCCATAAGAAGCACCACTTCTACCATTTATAGAGAACTTAGTCCCTCGTTGTAATTTAATGAATTATTGAGCAAATATCTATAGTCCTTGCATTAATAATTATATGAATAGATAGGTAGCACTACAAAGAACAACTTTTGTTGCATGAATTATCACTTTTGGAGTCTGGTGGAGCAATTCAGGACTCTAGTGAGCCAAGAGAATTTAAATTTGGGAGGTGGAGAAGAAGTGGGGACCAGAGTTACTTCCATACATCCAAGAACCTTTCAGAACCTTCTAATCAAACCTGACTCTTTGAGAAGGAGAAAATGATTCTTGCAAGGGCAGTAACAACCAAAAGCCAAAGTGTAATCCCAATTAAATGAACAGTCTGTGTGACTGGGTTGGGCAAGGGAAAGTTTTAAAATATATATATTTTATGCTTGCTCTTACAGATAAATGTTATTTTTGCACTCGAGACAACTCACAATGTTCATGGACATCTAAAGTCTTTATAAACTTTTCCTAAGACAATAAGGAATTCTACTTTGGCTTCTAAATACTTACCCAGTGCTTTTTGTTATTCAAAGACAAAGGTGTGTGCTTAAGGGGTACAGTCTACCACACTGAACACACTGTATATTTTGCACACAAGCTAACATGTATATATGTACCTCTCTCTATACCACAATACATATATACATATACATACGTATACATAGAGAGAGATGGGGAAAGTGTAGCAACAAAACATGAAGGTATAATTTGTGTGTGTGTGTGTGTGTGTGTGAGTAGATTAGGCTCTGGGAACTGAATTAAGTGTAATTAAGAGATAAATGTGACAACAGCTACCATAAACTACGTATGTGTGTCTGTGCATGTATGTGCACAGACACACACACACACACACATGCACACACCACACACACATACCACACACATATATGTGATGTGTTTTTAACTGATAGGTGTTTTTCCTTGGGAAATTTAATTACTATATCTTGGAATTAAACATGACTTTAAGGGTTTTTCATTTTTTTCCTGGGGGAGAGAGGCAAGGCAAGTTTACTTGTCATTTAAGTGGTACCACCAGACAGCATGGCCACACAGTCAAGATCTGCGCTTAGGATTTAGTGCCTTTTGTTTTGTTTACTGAGCACCCAGAGTATATAGCAGTTAGTACTGATCAGTAGAAAAAAATTGTCTTACTTCATCCTTTTGGGGGAGGAAAATCCCGTGTTTAGCGTGCAAGGGTTAATTCTACCTCTTCTGCTCTATCTTAGCCGCGCTCGACCTGGTTGTATTGGAATCACCAGAGTAGCTTTTAAAAATCACCTGTGCTCAGTACCTCTCCAGGAGATTCAAATTAATTGAGCTAGGGTGAGACCAGGGGATCGGAATTTTTAAGAGTTTTCCAGGTGATTGCGATCTGTAAATGAAAGCTGAGAAAAGGCGGTGGTACCTTTCTGGCCCATTTTACCTTGAAACGAATCTACTCTCCTTAACACAATCTGTCTGTTCCATTCATTTGGTAATTTCCCTGTAGGTTTTGTCCCTTCTTTTTTTTTTTTTTGAGTTGGAGTCTCACTCCATTGCTGGGGCTGGAGTGCTGTGGCACACTCACAGCCACCCTAGCATCGACCTGCTGGGCTCTGACGATCCTTCCGCCTCTACCTTCCAAGTAGCCCGGAACTACAGGCACGCGCTACCATGCCTGGCTAATTTTTTATTTATTGTATAGTCAGGGTCTTGCCATGTTGCCTGGGCTAGTCTCAAACCTGCAGGCTCAGGAAATCCACTAGCCTCAGCCTCCCAAAGTGTTGGGATTACAGGCTGAGACACGGAGCCTGGCCTCAGATATTCTTATATTTTGTTTCCTTAGCAATTTGTTCTTAATAACATGATAGCCAAGCTTTGTGGTGTGCTTACTATGTGCCAGGCATAATACCAGATGCTTTACTTAACACAAACTTCTACTCTCACAATGACCATCCATTATTCTCTCCAATTTATACGTTAAGAGAGGTTAAGTAACCAGGTTGATCACAAAGAAAGGAAGAGGCAAAGTTGGAATTCAAACCCAAGCTTCTCTGGCACAGAGCCTATGTTCTGTATTCTATTGCTTGAAGGCCAAAGCTGCCTTAGAACTGACTGTCTTTCCAAAAGCACCAAGGTAGTTGCCTCAGTGCTCAGTAGACAGAAGATACTCAACAGGTAGCTTCTGACTGATGGAATGATAAGATCTTGTGATTGGCTAAAATTAGGGAAATAATCCTGTACATTTATCTAAAAGAAAATGTAGTCTTTGAAGCTCTGAAGCATGCTGAAGTTTTCATTACTAACTTTTAAAGTTGGTAATGGGAACAGGATTGAATTTGTCTACCCTATTTATTTATTCTAAATGGCTTTTGAATATGTAAGATTAGAATATTTTGTGATGGTAGGAAGTTTAAGATGATAATTAGCACTTAGTGAAAAAGCGGTTTTAGGAACGGCAAAAAAATAAAAAGCTTTCTTTAGAATTTAAACATTCCTTTGGTTCCTCTTTTGAGTAATTTAGGTAAATATACATCCTTTCTTAGCCTGTAGCAGCCTCAGAAAATAACTTGATTATAAATCAAGTATATCTGTCATTTTTCTTCTATGATTCACTTAAAAGCACAACTGAGAAAAACAGTTCTCTTTGTATTCATGTCTTCAAAAATGTGTGGATTTGGTCAAGCATCTGGTCAAGCATCATGGAAAAAGCCTCAACCAGTGCCCCTCCACACCTCTGGAGATGATTTTGAAGATACCTGTAAAGAACACACTTACCATCACTGGAACCCCAAATGACCCCAATCTGAAAAGAACATCATTTAGGATAGAGCAGGAAAAAAATTTTTATCTCAATGTAGTTTTATGTGCCTGGAAGTGAGTCCTAAGTTTATATGTTTGGAGGTTGTTGTTATCTTCCCATCTCACTCACAGTTGTGCATTGCTACTAGGTGCTGGATGAGTTAGCTGTATCCGCCTCAATGGGCCTTCACCCCCTCCTTAGTGAGTTTTCAGGGAAATAATGATTCTTCAGCACTCTCTCTATATATAAATACTGTATATATGATTCACATACAGACAGTTGTGGAAGAATATTAGTATCACTCCGGTGAGCTACTGGCTACTAAGTTCAGGACTCATCTGCTGTAATAAAGGTAAATACAGACAGACATGGGAAACTACACCAGGCTAAGGACAGAATCAAGGCAGGTTGGAGGTGTGTGTCGGGATGTAACTGCAGTCGTTGTTAAGAATATCAATTGCTTCATGCACGCACAAGAGAATCACCCACATTGACCCTGCCGTGGAGGGCCACCCATTTCACAAGCAGTCCACTGGAGGTTGCTGTTACATTCCTTGGGTCAGTGTTAGAAAGCAGGAACACCAGGAAAAGTCCCATTAGAAGACATGGTACTGGAAGGGCATGCACAGATTATGAGAGCAGGTGGCCGGTTCATTCGGTTTAGTCACATACCTCTTTCCCCTGCCACGATCAGCCAGATTGAATGAAACAGTAGAGAAACAGGGAGGAAATTTAGATATGCAATCAGGCATTAGTCGGGACTGTTGGATTTATGGTATATTATATAGTATTTAACTAGACTATCAATTTTCATTTAGTCATTTTAGGTGCTTGAGAAATTACTTTTATGAAATGCCCCTTTACCCCCTTTTGCTGTAGATCTGAATGTAGAGGAAAGGGGGAATTATGCAATTTTCAAAAGTTTATTTTAAGAGAGATGATTTTAAATCTCAGTTTGGAAACACTGATACAACAGTTTAACCATCATGAAGCCTTGGGATATTTTCTTGGGAGTGTTAGGTTGTTTAAGTCCTTATAGGTTTGTGATTTAGTTAGGCTTAAAATCCCTTGGTTTATAATTATTATCACAAGGATCATTTCGATAGTGGTTAAAAAAAAAGCAAGCTATATTTATTTAGATGTATGTTGGAGAGTTGACACGTTGAACAACACAGAATAATTTGCTTCTGTCACTGTGTTTAGCAACCCAGGCAATCTAAGATTTTAAAAAATGAGGACTCTAGTATAAGCAGAGTAAGCTACAGAGATAAATTCATAAAGATGGTCTGTGATCGACATACTAAAGAACTAATAAAAACTGCAGTGGTGACAACAACAACAACCACAAAAAACCAAAAAGTATTTTGTGTTTTCTGGACAATTGTAACCAGATACGGCTTGAATCATTAACTTTAAGAAGCACTCACCTCATTTGCTTGTTGCTAGAAACATCTGAAAACTTAGGTTGAAACGTACAACACGCAACCACTCTTTGGTTACTCTAAACAACCTTCCAAAGACTTCTCCTTGCAAAACTTCCATTTTCATTCTCTTTGCAAGCCCAGTTAAAAGAAAATGGATGTTAAGGCATCTTATTCACACTCTGGCTGGTAGAATCAGCTCTGCAACCTGAGCTTAGGGACACTAGAAGACATTTTCCCCAAGCCTGCTCACCTCTGCGTGGTGCTCCTCATTTTGTTGAAGAACTTCAATGACTAGTTCAGCAAGACGTATTGTGTCTTCAAGCTTTTTGGCAGGAGTGATTAATCGGCCTACATTTTCTGTAGTACAAGAATTTGTGTTAAAATTCAGCGAGAACGGCAGGTTAGTTTTGTGGCCATTAGAACTAGTGGATAAGAAATTTTGAATAGTTATTCATTTTTTAAAAAAAGTTTCATGCAAATGTTAAGTGCCATTAATTAGTAGTGAGCAAACCATAAAGCAATTTTATTATTATCACCATCATTATAATACATATTAGGAAAAAGCAGTGCTCCAGCTTCAAATTTGTACATGAAGCTATATTTAGCCTATGACAGCCCATTTCAAATTTAGTGACATTTTGTACACATGTTCTTTAAAGACAGCATAAATGTACTATCTTATATCACTCTCTTGACTGTGTCTGTTACCTGAAGTAGGAAGATATAACAGAAGTTTAATCTTTTTAAAAAAAAATTTGAGTTGGAGTCTCACTCTGTCACCCAGGCTGAAGTGCAATGGCATGCTCACAGCCAACGGAGCCTCAACCTGCTAGACTCAGGTGATCCTTCCACTTCAGCCTTCAAAGTAGCCGGAACTATAGAACTACACCACCACACTAAGCTAACTTTTTGGTTACTGTAGAGACGAGGTCTCACCAAGTTGCCCAGGCTGGTCTCAAACTCCGGGGCTCAGGCAAGCCTCTCACCTCTCCTCCCAAAGTGCTGGGATTACAGGCAAGAGCCACCACATCCAGCCCTGAAGTTTAAGTTTGATTGCTGCTGAGTTCATTTCTTTAGATTGATTTCTAAACATTCAATACTATAGCATTGTTTTTCATTATATTTGTGCATGTTTAACAGGTATTGGAATGTTCATTTTGGAAAAACAGATTCAAAGATCTGTCTGTTTTAAGTTGCCCTGGGAGGAGATGGCAAAGAAAAATCAGATGATAGTCGTGGGCCATTAGGCAGGATAGAGTTATTAAAAGGGTGTCAGGAATAGATTTATTGAATAGGTGTTGGTAGCTTGTGCCACTGGCTGTTACAATTGAAATTTTATCAGTTAAGTTGCAATGTACTTAATTTTTTTCTTTATTTTTAGTTTTGCTAAACATTGGCAGGGTTGTATTTTTACCCAGCTCAAGAAGAAGCTGAACCCTGGTTTATATTGCACCCTTTCTAGAGCTGAGTTCATGAATGTTTTGGCAAAGTCATTATCTTGCCAAAAACGACTAACTTTTTTCCTTGGGGAAAAGAGTAATATTTGAAACATAAAGGTTTTCTTAGCTGATGAAGTTGCCTGATTTCAATCTCAACTCACAGGGGGATTTTTTTTTTTTTTTAATGCTTAACCATTCCTCTTCAGACCTTGAAGCCTCAGAGTCAGGAGAGCACATGGGTATAATGAAATAAAGATCATTTAGCATGGTTGCAAAAGGACTGCAGAAACATTTTCATCTCTTCATCTGAAGCAGGTGTGTTTTGGCTTCAAGATGTTTTTTGCTAGAGAGAATTACTTAACGCTTCATAGAAAGGATTTTTGGTAGGGGGTTAAACAAAATCATAGGAGCTTGCTAATTTCAAAAAAGTTTCTTAATTTCCTTTTATACATTTCTTGGATAGGTGATGAATGTACCAGATCATTAGTAATTTAGAATTTACTAACAAAAAATAAATTAAGCAAAATGCTATATAAAAAAGGTAGGGTTTTTTGTTTTGTTTTTGTTTTGTTTTTCTCCAGTGGGATCTAAGAGTGATGAATGAGACAGGGCAAGATTAGCCGGATGTTGAAAGTTTCAGGCACGCAAGGCCGGATGGTTGGTGTGAAAGTGGATTTCCTGGATTTAGGTCAACGGAAATCTCCGTTATCTCTGCCATGCCCAGGTAGAAATATGGTTGGATATTGTTAGCACATGAAGGTGGGATAGTGAGGAACATTAAGTATGCAGATCAAGCAGAGAATGGCTAACACTCAGAGTAAGAAGATGTGGGAGTTTAGGTTCTGACCACTCATTGACTGGTCCTGAGTAATAAACATTTGAAGACAGAATGAGTGACAAGGTTGACTTCTGTGCTTTTGGGGCACCTGATCTGTTTGTAATTTCATAATAGACTATCATTAATTTCATTAGTAGACTTTCAGGCATTTCTACAAACATACTGCGTATATATGTTTGGGTAATATGTGTAGAGTGAGGTATTTGCATTTTGATAGTAAATATGCATAGGCTACTATTTTTTATTAGTTGATATTCACATTTACACATCAATTTGCAAATTCCTCATCCTATGCTTATTACCCATTTGACACATACACCCACATACATACATCACACACTTACATACATTTTCTAGTAACCAGACAAACCTGCACATTAATACAAATCTGCAGGAAATCCCACTTGGTATACATCTTTGAAATCTCTTGCTTTAAAAATAGAAAGTATTGTCCTTTTGGGTAGAACACTCACCAAATCTAGGGGAATTCTGGCTGTGCATAATACAGAAATAAAATGATTCCCACCAATATTTCTAGGCATGATTATTTAAAAGTGTGAATGACTTTTATGTTCGGAGAAATCCAAGATGCTTAAGCTAGGACCACCTGAAGATTTGTTTTAATATGCAGGACTCTTTAGATTGACTACAATAGATATCCATAGATACACATAGTGTGTACATGTACATGCAGCCATTCTATGAGTGTGTGCACATGTACGCAGATATGTGTATGCCTGATGTATATATACAGACAGTATGTTTAATAAAACCTTCTGTAATTCGACTTGACCATGCAACCATTAAAGTAGGCAGGTTAAGGATCCTTTAATCTAGAACACTTGATCTGCCAATTAACTCATGTAGCCAGCCTTTCACTTGTTATTAATTAGCTGTGTTTCCATCATCTGTAGATCAAGCCACTTTAGTGAGACACAGCACTATTTTCCTGCTCATTTGCATAGCTTATTTACTAGCTAAATGGCAAAAAAAAAAAAAGGTACTAAAAGTGACTTCTCTAAGATGTTGTCTTTAAAGAAAATATTGTGCAAAATCCTTTAGCACTTCCTCTCTCCCCCAGCAGAGGTCAAGGAGAAATGTGTGCTTAGGAATGATTTTTTTTGTCACTTCTGCTGTCTTAAAATGCACTGCAATATTCCTATCCCCCAATCTTGCACTAGCTGGAGCACTGATGAAAGGGAACTAAAAATATAGTATACTTAGGAAACATTTCATACAACAGAATTGAAGCTCATAACATATAAAAAATTGTCATGCAAAATGTTATGCAACAACAATGTTATTTTGTGCTGACATTGAGATTTGAAAATGTTGCATATGTCAGACATAGCTAGACAAAAAATGTGGACATTTGGAAATCAATGCTCTCTTTTTAGTATCTCAAAACCTACAACATTAAACTCGAGAGCCTGAGCCTCAGCTTAATATTCCAAACGGAAACAAAATTTCAAGAAGAAAAATGAACAGAAAAGCAAACTAAACTAGAAAGCTGCTGTAAAGGAATGATAGAAGTTTACAGTACTTGATTTTGGCCTACGCATGCCTTTGAGACTCTGATATAACATGCTGGTCTGCGTTTGGGTGGGTGGAGGAGGAGGCCCAGGATGTGGCAGGGGAGCTGCTCAGGTAGGTGAAGAGAGACAGTAAAAAAGTAAAGAGACAAAGTGACTTTAACAAAGGGTGACAAGTTAGATGACAGACTCTGAAAAGAACAATCAAACAAGCAAAAATGATAAAACACAAATGGAGAGCTGTTGTTTCTTGGAGTTTTTTCCAACATTATGAAGGTGTGACATTGTTTGACAAGGACTCTTACCAGTGTCACCAGCACCAACCCTATTGAGACACTCAGAGGCTGAATGCAAATGCTGAATGCTTTATCCAGATGGATATACATGAATGATGGTGGCAACATCATTGACCAAAAGAAGATACACTTTGTACAGTGAAGAACACCCATGCATTAATAGCTGCTTCTTCCTTTCGGATGACCAGAAATAGGATTCAATATATTAGTAGTTCGAAGATCTGGTTTTCTCGTCCTCCATATGCTGCCTGCTTTCTATGTCTCCTTGCACCTGCAATTTAAACCTCTCTGGGCTTTAGTTTCCTCATCTATAAATTCTGAGTGTGTGTGTGTGTGTGTGTGTGTGTGTGTGTGCGCGCATGTGTGTATCTTGCAGGGTGACTGATAGGAGCAAATAAAACAATGTATGGGACAGAGCTCTGTAAAGCTTAAGGTGCCTATAAATGTTTATTGTTACCTCCACATTGTGGGAAGGCTGGAATTAATTGCTTTGCAAAAAGCAGATGAAGGGCCGTTATTAGTTCAAGTAAGCTAGGAAATATTCTTGCTCCCTTTGTGGAATTTCAACATGTCAAAATCTGTCATTTTGGGGGAAAATGTGTGGTATCTGATTGTTTCCAGCTCATTTAATTATTTTCAATTTGGAATTCTCGTGGCTTTTATATTGTGGGTTGAATCATATATAAAAACTTGCCAGCTTATCAAATATGTTACTTGCTATTCCAAATGTTAGAATACTGTAATCAGCACTTGACCCATCTGTCATGTGGTTTACAATATCAGTACAGCAAACATCCTATAACAATAGCCTCCCCTTCAGTACAGGCACAGAGCACTATCAGCTTGTATAATTCTCTCTCTTTAATGAGTGTCTCATTAACCTTGGACCTGCTCTTTTCTAATAGTTCTGGTTTATAAAGCAATCTGTATGGTGAGAGGGACATACTCCATTGCCAAGTTTGCTTCTTGGTTTGCTTGAATTTTCAATTGGGAAAATGAATTTTACTGCAGGCGTATAGGAAATGGAATTCTAGTGACATTAATAAAAAGAAAGATTGAGAAATATGGATAAATGTAATATTCTGGCAAAAACCACCTATTAAAAGCAAGAGTTGATGAGATCCTTTTCTTGCTGGACCATTTTGATGTATAAAATACAGTGCAAAAAATTTCTCTTACTGGTTTCTTCTTATTTAAGTTATTTGGAGAAAATAATGTGTAAATAGAATTTGAAAGACTCTATTTTAAATGA